AAAAAAAAAAAAAAAAAAAAAAAAAAAAAAAGAAAATTAAGAGCAGTATCAACAGAGCATGTGTAATTCTGGTAAAATCTGAACAACATCTGTTTCTGAGTGAATCAGCATCCCAACATTAATGACCTGACCTCATCCCTGGGCCACTGACAATGTCATGAGGGGTGAGGGGTAGTTAGGAATCCTCTGAACTCTTTTTCTTTCTGTCTTAGACCATTTCAAATGAAAAGTCGCATAAAGGGCTGTGGTGAGGGTCAGGGGGAGAGAGCTTGCCTGGCATGCACAGGGCTCTGGGTTCCGCCTCAGCACTGCACAAAACCAGTTATGTAAATAAGCACAACAGAAGAATATGCCGGACTCTGCTGTCCCCCAGACTGTGTCTACAGGGAAGGATATGATGGCCCCTCTGCCCAGAGAGGCCTCCTGGAGGGAAACTGAGGCACCAGACAGCCCCCCCCAGCCAAGCCAAGGTACCCACGAACTTTCCTCTTGCTTCAGCCCAGCCCAGCCAATACCATGTGGAGCTGACAGGGCCGTGCCAGCCCCACCTTGCCCAAATCACCAGACTCCAGAGCACTGTACAATGAGTAGGTGCTGTCTGCAGCCACTCAGGTCCGTGGGGATTTGTTCTGCAGTAACAGATAACTGAAAACCTGTCCTCTGTCTCCCTGCTCAGACTTATCCAATTCTTCCCGTCTAAAATCACAGCATGGCTGTATCTAAAGAGCACACAGTGGTATCAGACAGACCTGGATGGGATCCTGATTCTCCTACTTAGTGGCTGTGTATCTTGGAAAGGTTCCTTACCCTCTCTGAACATCATCTCCCTTCACGTACAGTGAGACTACCAATGGCACACACCTTCAGCTCACGGCTGACTGAGTTTGAAATGAAGGCATCCTCTGTGTCTGGCACACAGCTGATGTTTAGCACATGTTTGTTAAAATGCTGCTGAATATTTATTGAGCAACTATTGCATGCTGGTGCTGACCCCCGAAGCAAGCGGGCAAACCAGACAGAAAAAGGCCTCGCCTCACCAAGGGGAAGACAGGCGACCCGAAGACAGCTGCAGATGGTGACATGCTGTGCTGTGAGGCACTGTGTGACAAGAAATGACGAAGGTGTGGTGAAGAGCTGCGGGTGGCCAGGCCTCTCTGGGGAGGGGACATCTAGGCCAAGGTGTGGAAAAGAAGAAGGAGGCAGCTACAGGAAGAGCAGAACAGGCCCTCTAGGAAGAGGGAAAGACCTGGGGTGGAGCTTGGGGCCCCAGAGGCGTGGGGAAGAGCAAGTGGGAGGGACAGTTCCAGCGACTTACCCAGGGACCTGCTGCAGGACGATTCTTGCAGCTGTTCCCGATACAAGCTTGGGTTCAAGACCTGGCCCACTGCAAAGGCTCCATTCATACTGGATGGGTGAGTCTCAGGCGAGGGTATGCAGTGTGACCTGTGCACGGTTTCCATGGAAACCATCACCACACCCCCGGACCCCTACGGCAGCTCCCGGGTTCCATATCCAGAGGACCTGACTTGACCTGGGGCCCTGCATGGCGTGGCAGGCGTGTCTTCCTCTTTCTCTTCCACAGTCCCAGCTGTCGAGAGGACACTGGGCCCAGACATGAAGCTCTTGCTACTGTGCTGGGCCCCTGTTCACCCACCTGGCCCTGGCCCAGGGATGCAGCTGGGCCTCCCGGCTGTGCATGCGGCAGCAAGTGGCTCCTACCTGCTCTGAGACTCACTGTTCATGGGGCTGAGCCGCCTGCCCAGCATGTACACAGTGTGCATACAGCTCCACAGGCACGGCCACGCACGGCCCTGCAGACACAGGTGCTGCTACTATTGAGATGGACACAGACACACACAGGGACCGGGAGAGGCACACAGACACCAGGCCACCAGCAGGACACGCAGGCTGGCCCCTGAGGGTGCGACACACTTAGGCCATGACACAGCAGACACACAAAGCCTCTCCACACTCCTGCCGCACCTCCGGGATAGCTGTGCCAGAAAATGAGACATCTGCATCCTCCCGGCCCTCCCTCACCTGTCGCCCGCAGGGCACAGGCCAATTAAGCCTTCACAGGAGGGTGGCATCTTGCAGCTGCAAGTGGCCTTTGTGATGGATCCCAGGGGGCGCCAGGCCCAGCCCCTGGCCCCTCCTCCTGTGAGGCCCCTGGGATGCTTCTCCAGCTCTCTGCCCACGGACCTTTCCCGGGTGGGTGACCCCCTAATGAAGACCCCCGCATGGCCCTGTCCTGAGCTGGCTCAGGAGAGGACCCCCGGGAGCTCCTACTTCCCTGCTTCCAGGACCCTTGAAAGACATCAGCTGCTGCTCTCTGCCTATTCCGAGGGCTAATTGAGTCCTTCTGGCCAGAGGGAGGTTCAGTTTTCCCTCCTTGCCATGCTGGGCTTGGGGTCTTGGTCCTTCTCTCACATACACAAACCTCTAGACCACCCTGGCCTTCTGCTCTCCCTTCCACACATCAAGCCTGTGCCTGCCTTAGGGCCTTTCACCTGCCCTGCCCGGTCTCTCAGGTCTTTGCAGGCCTGCCATCTTCCTAGCATTCAGATCTCAGCCAGAAGTCGTCTTCCTCAGAGAGTCCTGATGACCCATCTGATGAAACAATTTCTCTGGGTGCTTGTTCATGGCCCCATGGGGATCATGAAAAAATCATCCAACATGGGCCCTGTGCAGGTTTGTTAAAGATCTCTGAAATGCAGGTCCTGAGTGCTGACATAAAAAAATAAAATAAAATAATTAAAAAATGGCTCTGCTGTGCAGCCAGAGCTGGGAATTCTTGCCCCAGAGACTGCAGACAAGAAGAAAGGCTGAGTTTCACAGACCTCTCCCCACCACTGCTACTGTTTTTTGAGCTCCCACTACATGCGCAACCTGCAGTGGCCTCATGCATTGTGAATCTCAGTGCACACTTGCGAGGTGCATACAGTGCACCAAGTATGGTAGAAAAGCCATTCCACTCCCTACCAGCTCTATGAGGTGGGAACCTTTATGCCCGCATTTTACAGACCAGGAGACTGAGGCTCAGAGAGGAAAAGTAACTTAACCCAAGTTGTGCAGCTGGACCCCAGCAGGTCTTGGGATTTAACCAAGCAGGCCCTGAATGCCGATACCATGCTGTCCTTGTTTTGTTTAATCCGCACAAACTCTTGCATTCTGGACATTTTTGAAGATGTGCTGCCAGGGTTCAGGGAGTCAGGAGACGGGTCCAGGATCACACAGACAGCATCCCGCCCAGGTCGGCCTCATGCCGCAGTAGAGGGTGCAAGCTGGGAGGGACAATTTCCGGATGCTTCTTATCCTCTTTCGGATCCAGAAACTTGGGCAGAATACAGCATGGAGCCCGGGGATGGGCCGGCGGCCTGTTGCCCAGGAGTGAATTAAGAATGACATGTAGATAGCGCCAACATGGCAGCCTTGGTTCTAAGCCTCCAAAGAGACCCCGTGATGAGGTTATATCTAGATGCCCCCCAAAGCTGCATTTGCTCATAGATGGGGCTCCCGGATCACGGGACGCTATAGTTACGGGCAGGTTAGTCCCTGAGGAGCTGAGAGCACCACGTATTGTCAGGAGGCGGGGCCTGGCCGGAAGAGGTGGGCACAGGGGCGTGGCCTGGCTGGGTCACCCTTCCCCTCCTCCCTGTTCTCTGCGCTTCCTGGTGCCCATGCTCTGAGCAACTCTTCCACCAGGTCCCCACCCCCTTGTCACACCGCCCTTCCCTGCAGCCGGCCCGTTACGGACTGAAAGCCTCAGGAACTGTGAGCCAAATGAAACTCTCCTTTAAGCTTCGGGGGTCGGTACTGTGTCCCAGGGACCGGGACAGGTGCACAGATTTAGTAACTCACGTCAGGTGCAGCCAGGTGCAGCCAGTCCACGCGGAGCTGAGATCTGCCCTCGGGCTGGCTGGTGGCGAAGTCTAGAGCACATTTCCTCCGGGAGGCTTTGCTTCTTTAACTGGCTGCCCCTCACGCTTGTGCTCTGTGAAATGGTCACAAAAATGGAAGAGACAAGCCCTAAATCCAAAGGGAACCCTAACAGACTAGGAACAGGCAAAGCGGCTTTGGGCATGTCCTTGATCCTCTGAAATGGACCCAACGGCGCCTGGTGTGGAGAAAGCAAGAGCCCCGCAGTGGTGTCCCTGGTCACACTGGGTGTCTGCGAAGCCGGCTCCCTGGGCAGCCGTGACGTCACCCTCCCGCCAGCAGCCGAGCCTCATCCCCGGCTGGGGCCCACCTGGAACGTGATGTGGACGCAGGTGGTGACATTTGCGGGGGCCTCCAGAGGCACAGGGCCCAGCAGCCCCTGGGGACCCGAGCTCAGCGCCAGCGCTGCGGCTGCCTAGAAGCAGGAGAGTGCGTCACGCTGAGCATCCATTAGGCGTAATTGCTGCTGCGGCGAGCGCAGCTCTGGGTCGGATTACAGCCGCG